TGATAGTAAAGATGATCCAAAATCTTAGAAATAGAATACAGAAAATACAAGAAACATTTAACAAGGACCTAGAAGAACTAAAGATGAAACAATGATGAACAACACAATAAATGAAATTAAAAATACTCTAGATGGGATCAATAGCAGAATAACTGAGGCAGAAGATGGGTAAGTGGCCTGGAAGATAAAATAGTGGAAATAACTACTGTAGAGCAGAATATAGAGAAAAGAATGAAAAGAACTGAGGACAGTCTCAGCGACCTCTGGGACAACATCAAACGCACCAACATTCGAATTATAGGGGTTCCAGAAGAAGAAGAGAAAAAGAAAGGGACTGAGAAAATATTTGAAGAGATTATAGTTGAAAACTTCCCTAATATGGGAAAGGAAATAGTTAATCAAGTCCAGGAAGCACAGAGAGTCCCATACAGGATAAATCCAAGGAGAAACACGCCAAGACACATATTAATCAAGCTGTCAAAAAATAAATAAAAAGAAAACATATTAAAAGCAGCAAGGGAAAAACAACAAATAACACACAAGGGAATCCCCATAAGGTTAACCTCTGACCTTTTAGCAGAAACTCTGTAAGCCAGAAGGGACTGGCAGGACATATTTAAAGTGATGAAGTAGAAAAAAACTTCAACCAAGATTACTCTACCCAGCAAGGATCTCATTCAGATTTGATGGAGAAATTAAACCCTTTACAGACAAGCAAAAGCTGAGAGTGTTCAGCACCACCAAACCAGGTTTACAAGTGCTAAATGAACTTCTCTAGGCAAGAAACACAAGAGAAGGAAAAGACCTACAACAACGAACCCAAAACAATTAAGAAAATGGGAATAGGAACATACATATCGATAATTACCTTAAATGTAAATGGAATAAATGCTCCCACCAAAAGACACAGATTGGCTGAATGGATACGAAAACGAGACCCATATATACGCTGTCTGCAAGAGACCCACTTCAGACTTAGAGACACATACAGACTGATAGTAAGTGGATGGTAAAAGATATTCCATGCAAATGGAAAGCAAAAGAAAGCTGGAGTAGCAATTCTCATATCAGAGAAAATAGACTTTAAAATAAAGACTATTAGAAGAGACAAAGAAGGACACTACATAATGATCAAGGGATTGCTCCAAGAAGAAAGTATAGCAATTGTAAATATTTATGCAGCCAACGCAGGAGCACCTCAATACATAAGGCAAATACTAACAGCCATAAAAGGGGAAATCAACAGTAACACATTCATAGCAGGGGACTTTAACACCCCACTTTCACCAATGGACACATCATCCAAAATGAAAACAAATAAGGAAACACAAGCTTTAAATGATACATTAAACAAGATGGACTTAATTGATATTTATAGGACATTCCATCCAAAAACAACAGAATACACATTTTTCTCAAGTGCTCATGAAACATTCTCCAGGATAGATCATATCTTGTGTCACAAATCAAGCCTTGGTAAATTTAAGAAAATTGAAATTGTATCAAGTATCTTATCTGACCACAGCGCTATGAGACTAGATATCAATTACAGGAAAATATCTGTAAAAATACAAACACACGGAGGCTAAACAATACATGACTTACTAATGAAGTGATAACTGAAGAAATCAAACAGGAAATCAAAAAATACGTAGAAACAAATGACAATGGAGACACGATGACCCAAAACCTATGGGATGCAGCAAAAGCAGTTCTAAGACGGAAGTTTATAGCAATACAGTCCTACCTTAAGAAACAGGAAACATCTCAAATAAACAACCTAACCTTGCACCTAAAGCAATTAGAGAAAGAAAAACAAAAAAACCCCAAAGTTAGCAGAAGGAAAGTAATCATAAAGATCAGATCAGAAATAAATGAAAAAGAAATGAAGGAAACGATAGCAAAGATCAATAAAACTAAAAGCTGGTTCTTTGAGAAGATAAACAAAATTGATAAACCATTAGCCAGACTCATCAAGCAAAAAAGGGAGAAGACTCAAATCAATAGAATTAGAAATGAAAAAAGAGAAGTAACAAGTGACACTGCAGAATTACAAAAGATCAGGAGAGATTACTACAAAAAGCCCTCTGCCAAAAAAATGGACAAACTGGAAGAAATGGTCAAATTCTTAGAAATCCACAACCTGCCAAGACTGAATCAGGAAGAAATAGAAAATATGAACAGACAAATCACAAGCACTGAAATTAAAACTGTGATTAAAAATCTTCCAATAAACAAAAGCCCAGGGCCAGTTGGCTTCACAGGCGAATTCTATTAAACATTTAGAGAAGAGCTAACACCTGTCCTTCTCAAACTCTTCCAAAATATAGCAGAGGGAGGAACACTCCCAAACTCATTCTACGAGGCCACCATCAGCCTGATACCAAAACCAGAGAAGGATGTCACAAAGAAAGAAAACTACAGGCCAATATCACTGATGAACATAGATGCAAAAATCCTCAACAAAATACTAGCAAACAGAATCCAACACATTAAACGGATCATACACCATGATCAAGTGGGGTTTATTCCAGGAATGCAAGGATTGTTCATTATACGCAAATCAATCAACGTGATATACCATATTAACATATTGAAGGAGAAACACCATATGATCATCTCAATAGATGCAGAGAAATTTTCGACAGAATTCAACACCCATTTATGATAAAAACCCTGCAGGAAGTAGACATAGAGTGAACTTTCCTCAACATAATAAAGGCCATATATGACAAGCCCACATCCAACATCATCCTCAATGGTGAAAAACTGAAAGCATTTCCACTAAGATCAGGAAGAAGACAAGGTTGCCCACTCTCACCACTCTTATTCAACATAGTTTTGGAAGTTTTAGCCACAGCAATCAGAGAAGAAAAGGAAATAAAGGAATCCAAATCGGAAAAGAAGAAGTAAAGCTGTCACTGTTTGCAGATGACATGATACTATATATAGAGAATCCTAAAGATGCTACCAGAAAACTACTAGAGCTAATCAATGAATTTGGTAAAGTAGCAGGATACAAAATTAATGCACAGAAATCTCTGGCATTCCTATACACTAATGATGAATAATCTGAAAGTGAAATCAAGAAAACACTCCCCTTTACCACTGCAACAAAAAGATTAAAATATCTAGGAATAAACCTACCTAAGGAGACAAAAGACCTGTTTGCAGAAAATTATAAGACACTCATGAAAGAAATTAAAGATGATACAAATAGATTGAGAGGTATACCATGTTCTTGGATTGGAAGAATCAACATTGTGAAAATGACTCTACTACCCAAAGCAATCTACAGATTCAATGCAATCCCTATCAAACTACCAGTGGCATTTTTCACAGAACTAGAACAAAAAATTTCACAATTTGTATGGAGACAGAAAAGATCCTGAAGAGCCAAAGCAATCTTGAGAACAAAAAACGGAGCTGGAGTAATCAGGCTTTGTGATTTCAGACTATAGTACAAAGCTACAGTAATCAAGACAGTATGGTACTGGCACAAAATGAAAAAGATAGATCAATGGAACAGGATAGAAAGCTCAGAGATAAACCCAGGCACATATGGTCACCTTATCTTTGATAAAGGAGGCAGGAATATACAGTGGAGAAAGGACAGCCTCTTCAATAAGTGGTGCTGGGAAAACTTGACAGGTACTTGTAAAAGTATGAGATTAGATCACTCCCTAACACCATACACAAAAATAAGCTCAAAATGGATTAAAGACCTAAATATAAGGCCAGAAACTATCAAACTCTTAGAGGAAAGCATAGGCAGAACACTCTATGACATAAATCACAGCAAGATCCTTTTTGACTCACTTCCTAGAGAAACAGAAATAAAAACAAAAATAAACAAATGGGACCTAATGAAACTACACAGCATTTGCACAGCAAAGGAAACCATAAACAAGACCAAAAGACAAGCCTCAGTATGGGAGAAAATATTTGCAAATGAAGCAACTGACAAAGGATTAATCTCCATAATTTATAAGCAGCTCATGCAGCTCAATAACAAAAAAAACAAACAACCCAATCCAAAAGTGGGCAGAAGATCTAAATAGACATTTCTCCGAAAAAGATATACAGACTGCCAGCAAACACATGAAAGAATGCTCAACATCATTAATCATTAAAGAAATGCAAATCAAAACTTCAATGAGATATCATCTCACACCAGTCAGAATGGCCATCATCAAAAAATCTAGAAACAATAAATGCTGGAGAGGGTGTGGACACGCTTGTGCTGCTGGTGCGAACGTGAATTGGTACAGCCACTATGAAGAACAGTATGGAGGTTCCTTGAAAAACTACAAACAGAGCTACCATATGACCCAGCAATCCCACTACTGGGCATATACCCTGAGAAAACCATAATTCAAAAAGAGTCATGTACCAAAATGTTCATTGCAGCTCTATTTACAGTAGCCCGGAGATGGAAACAACCTAAGTGTCCATCATCGGATGAATGCATAAAGAAGATGTGGCACATATATGCTATGGAATATTACTCATCCATAAAAAGAAATGAAATTGAGCTATTTGTAATGAGGTGGATAGAGCTAGAGTCTGTCATACAGAGTGAAGTAAGTCAGAAAGAGAAAGACAAATACCATATGCTAACACATATATGTGGAATTTAAGAAAAAAAATGTCATGAAGAACCTAGGGGTAAGACAGGAATAAAGACACAGACCTACTAGAGAATGGACTTGAGGATATGGGGAGGGGGAAGGCTAAGCTTTGACAAACGAGAGAGAGGCATGGGCATATATACACTACCCAATGTAAGGTAGATAGCTAGTGGGAAGCAGCCGCATAGCTCAGGGAGATCATCTCAGTGCTTTGTGACCACCTGGAGGGGTGGGATAGGGAGGGTGGGAGGGAGGGAGACGCAATAGGGAAGAGATATGGGAACATATGTATATGTATAACTGATTCACTTTGTTATAAAGCAGAAACTAACACACCATTGTAAAGCAATTATACTCCAATAAAGATGTAAAAAATTAAAATTAAAAAAAGAATACAGGCCTATATTCTTCCTATTGCTCAATTATAGTCCATATTTTAGAGAGTTAGTATCTGTAATAATGATAGAACTGTGGTTACTCTACGAAACCTAATGCCATTTGTGTCAGGGGTATTTCATTGCTTTTCCCTGTCAGAGAAAGTAAATGAAGGTTGAAAAAGAGTCATGATTAATCGTATAGTGAGATAATATATGCTTGCATATGCCATTTCGATGCTGTGTTGGGGAATATTTTAGGTATGCTATGGATAGGCAGATGGGGATTTTTAAGTACATAAACTGTAAGTCTGTCAGATTGTTTAACTTACATGAGAGAAAGAGGAGGAACAATGCTAGGTTTTTACATACAGAAAAAATGTCAGCCTTATAAACATTCTTCTTTTGGCTGGGTAACAGTTTGTGGGTAGGTGCAACCCTCGATTATTATTACTTGGGTACCTCAGGATCTGAAAGTACTGGCCAGAAGGAAGTGTACAGGAAGTAGGTAGAAAGATGTATGGAATAAACTATTTGGTTGAAAAACAGGCAAAGGGAAAAAGTTATCAATAGTTTGAGAAAGGTCTTGGAAATTAGGTTATGTCTTCTTGAAAGCAATGGCAGAAACAGAGGATTTACTTGTTTGTGCCATTCTCATTCCAAAAAGGATTAGAGACAGAGTATCAATAGATGGGTTACTTATGTTGGTAATAGGGTTTTAGATCAAGGTGAATGGTGCGCGAGAATGGGGAGAACCTGGTTTTCTAACTGCAAAGTTTTTTTCTTAACTTGAGCTCTGGACTTGCTGCCATCTTCCAGGGGGAACTTGTTCATCTCCTGATTGAAGAGTATATACTTGGGCAGTTCCGTGGGAGACTGCATGATCTTTTCAATTCCTCTCTCTAGTGTTAATATCAAATGAGCATTTTCAATAATATTTACCAAGTCATTCCATTTAGGTTCCTGTATCCTAGTGAAAAATGTCATGTCTCAATAATAGTCTGTTACAGGTAAGCCTTTAAGCTTTTAGCATGTAATACGTTTTAATATCAGAGTTACTATATATATTAAGTAATATTTCACTTTAAAGCTCTAATCTAGACTAAAACTTGTACTTTTTTTTTAGGACAGCCAGTAGAGGGGACTTCATGTTTTCTGCGGATCGTTTGGTAGGTGGATGGAGGCTTTCCATTTTCATTTCACTGTTGTTCCTAGTGATACAATCGTAGTAGGCCAAGGGGCTTTTTTGTTCTAGAGCATTCTGGGGTCAAAAGAGATTGTACCAAGTAACCCACATCTTGCTAGACTTTGCAAGTGTTGTTTCTACTGTTGCATTAAAGCTCTGCCTCAGTCCCATTCACCTCAAAGCATTGTCCATGAACTAATTCTCTGTAGTTCTGAGGTACCACTTACTACCTTTCAAGTGGATCTTGGTAACCTGATCCTGAGGCTTAAATGCCTCCTCTTAGGGCAGTGAAGTGAAGTAAATTAAAAGGAAATCAAAGATGTAAAAGACGTAGTAGTTACCCTTGTGGGATCCATCGAATGCACAAAAACTAATACCTAGCTTGTAGTTTACATGGGGTTGGATATCTATTTTGCCTCTTCTTTTCTGTAGTATCCTCACACGTGAAATACTAAGTTGTACTGTCTATGCTCAGGGACTTGCTGTTAAGAATTGACCAAGCCCAATTCTGTTTAGTTAGTGTCATCTGAGAGGTTCTCAGGCCACATTGGGCTGTCTTGGGTAAGCCCTGTTTACTTCTTGTGTTTATATCTAAATTTGTTCAGTGCTTAGAATGAGGTTGACACATATTCTGCTGTGGTTATTAGTATTCATCTGTTCATGAAATATACATTGAACTCATGTGAGTCAGACACTGTGCTAGACTGTGTTGTGGGGGGAGGAGATACAGTGGTAAAGCATATAGCATGGTGTCTGATATTGTGGGGTTTACAATCTAAATACTGTTCTCAGTATTTAGTTTGGGAAAGAAAGAAAAGTGACTTATTAAGCTTATAGTTATAATCAGATAGTAGAAGATATATTATTAAAGGGAATGTGATGGTGTTGGTGGGGGGAGGCGCGAAACTCTTTATTTACCTTTTCCCTAGGGAAATCTTTATTCCAAAAGAGTGTAGACAACTCCTGTTCCATTTTTGACTTTAAGTATTCTTGGTTCAAAGGCCACTTCTATTTGAGCTTCCAGGGCCAGTAATAATCCTTGGACTGCATCAAGATAAATGTAGTTGACATTCTTGGAGTGATAGGTTATTCTGTCTTTATGCTTTTATCAAACCAAAGGGACAGGTTCAAGGCAATTGTGTCAGTGGCTGCTGTGGGGAAAACAGAGGTCTTGGTGTTCACTGGTAGAAAATGATTGCTCTTTCTTTTGCTCTCCTTGTTCCATTTTTCTGGAGAACATAGGAAGTAAGTTCATGGTTATTGTAAAATGCTTGCCTGGAAGGGCAAGTATTATCTTAGTCAAGTGAGATAATAAGGATCCAGGGCATAATTCACCTCAGGGGATGGTAATTAGGACCTGTCTGTTCTCTGCAGTTGGATTTGAAGGTCCTGATATTGGGGGTGGGAGGTGTGGAGGGTCAGTTGTGATTGTGGTAGGGACAGGAGCTGTTGAGGTTTCTAGTGTTGAGGATTTCTAGTACACTGTCTCTTCTAGCACAAGGGTCCTGTTATAGTGGACATTAATTCTATCCTGAATTTGTCAGGATTGGCTCTCCTGGCGCTCAGATCTTGAGTTCTTTATATTTTAGTCACCCTTCTTCTGGTTTTATGTTCTCCTGTAAGGCTTGGACACACTAGTTTCTGTCCCAGAGTTGCAGGAGATGGACAGGAGGTAAGACTCTTTAGAGGAGTGTTACTAGGAGAACTAGGCTCTTCAAAGAAAATGATCCTCTTCTTCCCTTGTACTTTTTGCTCGTAAGAAACATTAACCTCCACAGAAGGTGGTGGCTAGAGGTGAGTATGCACACACACACGGTATTCATGAGCTTCCTTGACCCTCTGGTGCTGCAGGTTGACAAAGTGCTGGCCCATTTAGCATTGATCATTTTAATGGCAGCAGGATGTTTTGTTGTGATAACAGAGCATGGGGCCTGACATTTCTCCCTGATGTTCCTGAGTCTCAATCAGTAATGTAATATTGATTGGAGAAAATGTGCTTTGCAGACTCAGCACTGCCTTTTTGTAATGGGCTCTGGGTAGTCATAGAAATACCATAACCGGTGGTTTTTGGAGGCTATTCCTAGTAGTTCTGATGGATTCTTTCCTCTGTACCACATATTAAGATCATTAGGAGCCTTTTTTTTTTTTTAAGCTGGGAAGTCCCAATGCATTCGACTGGATCCTTCTTCAAGTTCAGTAAATTGGTTCAGCCCCATCCACTCATTTATTTCCTCCTAAGAAATTCAGGCTTTATTTTGCATTATGGTGGGCCTTTGTTAAAAAGTATCTGACTTGACAGTTTCAGAGTACTAAACAAGGCAAAGAAGTTTCCAGTGAGCACTATTTCTAGAGTAGCCAGAAGTATATTACTTCCAAGTGTTCCTGCCATGACTCTTGACACTTGCTGTAGTATTGCATTTCTCATAATATAGCCTGGACTGACTGAATGAGAATCAGAAAGCATACTTGAGCCTTTTAGTGGCAATCATGTGCCTAACCGAGGTTGGATACCTAGCAGCAAGCAGCCTGGCATTTGTTTCTATCTCTGTATCTAACACATGATAGGGGCCCCCTTCCTACTTCCATAAGCTAAATCCTTGCCTAGTATGTTACTGACTTTTTGCCTAGTTTTCAGCTCCTGAGGCTTACAGCTAACAGGAGATTCTTAGCAAGTTCTCAACTTATTCTTCCTTTGACTCTCTAGATCAGACTTGTTGTGGAAGAGGGATTGAATCAGCTACCATATAAAGAATGCATGGTGACCACTCCAACAGGTAACCAGGGCTGTTACTCTCATATTCGCCTCATAAAAATTCTGAGATAGAATTGGGGGAAAATGGAAAAAAAGCAGTCTGAGTAAATCAGTATGCAAAATGAGGAGTCTATGTGGAGCTGTTCTTTTAAACAACTTAATAAACTTGGAGACATTTAGCAAAGAAATTTATGTGGATGACCTTTTGTTAATGGCTTGCTGGTCAGTTCAAGTTAAAGGTTAATAAATATTCTTCAGCATGCAGGTGTTGCCTTTGATGATGGCACATTGGGACCAGAGCTAAGAATTGCTGGCAGCTTATCTTCACCTCTGTAGGGAAGCTTCTGGTGTTAACAAATGGGTGGGCTGGTTTGGCATTGAAACTCCAGGTAAAGGGATGAAAAGTAAAAAAAAAAAAAAAAAAGGAAAACTAAAAATGATGAGGATTAGAGAAGGGGCTTTGTTCTGCTCTAATAGAAAGAAACCAAGGATCCCTATTTTAGGGATTTGAAATTCTGATTTGGTTCTTTAGTAAATAATGGAAGCTGTTATATCCAAAGGTTGATTTTATGAAAATTGGGGGCTGAATTTGCTGCATCATAATTGATACAAATTCAGGATGAGACCAAGGCATGAACATGTCTTGATAATTACTTCAACCTTTCTCTTCTGCTTTTTAATGCAGAATGGAGGCTCATAAAAAGGGACCGGAATGAGGAGGCTCTCTGCTGTGGCTCACAGTGGGGTCCCAGTTTGAATTGATGGGCTTTCTAGCATTCTTGGAGTACAATTCTTGTCTGAATTCAGTTTGAGGAACATGTATGTGAATATCATTCTATCATAAGGCCTGTTCCCAGTCGATGAAGTCTACCTCTCTCCCAATTATTCCCACAGGTTTTTTATGAAGAATTAAAAAGTAAATATGAAAAATCATGGCTCTTCTTATTACTTTCACAGGGAACCTATGATGTTATACAGTATGTCTGGACAAGAGTTGCTCTGTACCCATCTGCTTTAAAGCTTAGATACTTTATTAAATAAGTAGGTCTCTCCAATGATGAAAGATAAATTCTTTGGTTTTATTCCCCAACAGGGTACAAGTATGAAGGAGTGAAATTTGAGAAGGGAAACTGTGGGGTCAGCATAATGAGAAGCGGTAGGTTTGCATATGTGTGACTTTGTCTCTTTGCGTGCATAGATGCAGTTGCTATTTTCCAGGAGAGAGGCGGTCTTGTCTGTCACAATTGCAGCCTTCCTTAGCTTAAATCTCACCACCTGTGTTGTCTATCCTCATGGTGCCTTGAAATCATAGCCTATGTATCGCCGAGTTTGGCTAATTTTAACTGCAGAGCATCTTCCCTAGTGGCCTATCCCCATGGGCAAGCCAGCTTTGAAAGATTCAGAGGAGGGTGGGAGAACAAGAGGATGCAATGATGCTATCTTGGAGAGAACAGGGCAGCTTGAATTTTGAGGGAATACAGCACAAATTCAGGCCTGCAGAACTCTGAGCACCCAACTAGAGAAAATCTTTTTTCTGTTTTTTTTAATTTCTTTTGTGAGGAACAGTCCTACCCTGTCAGGAACTGGACTGAATGGCTTGTTTAATATTTTTAGTTTTATATTTGATGAGTATGTGACTATGTAGGCAAAAGAACTTAACTGTGATTAACTCTAGGTATTTCCAATTGCTAGTCTTATAAATATTTGTGTTTTGAGTCCAACCGATTATCCTTCTAAACCAACCTTTGTGCAGCAAAATCACATGCCTGTAATTAGGACCTATACCTGTTACATGGGGATGATTATTTCCGTTCAGCAACTTAATTCCTTAATTATTCTTTGTACAGGATCCAAGGTATGGTAGAAGCCCCACTTGCTTGCATTGGAAACAGATTTTTTTTTTTTGCCACACCATGCAGCATGTGGGATCTTAGTTCCCCTAAGGATCCAACCTGTGTCCCCTGCAGTGGCAGCATGGAGTCTTAACCACTGGACCACCAGGGAAGTCCCCGGATTTTTATTTCACATATAAACATTCCCTTTTCTTCTCTGGCTATGAAGTTCTGTTTGTGAACAATTGAATATCTCCAATAAAATAGGAGCTTTAAGCTCCCTTTTTTATAGAAGGTAGCTCTTAAGCAACGATAGGATTTTCAGGACAATGGTGTTCAACCTTTTAAAACTGGTGAAGACAATGGAGATGGGCTTTTAAGGCACAATTTCTTCTGTTTTAGTCCAGCTTCTGCCCTAAAGGCAGCAGCATGGTCCTCGCACCCCTAGTGTATACAGGATGACCTTGGGGGTGATGCATAGACAGGGTGTTTTTAACCTTAATAGCTATTGGTTGATTTTCATACCTAATAGAAAGAAACTGTTTTTATATTTTCACTAGTGATATAAAGTTTCCTTTTAAAATAAATGTAAAAAAACCAGTTAATTTAAAGAAAAATATTAAGTAAATAACCATACAAGTAGAATTTTGATGTGGCCTAAAATCTTGACGATGGTATGAAAATGGTTGACCTTTGGCAAACACTTCCTTAAAGGAATTCAGACTCAAAAATAGCTCTGTGTTCAGAAACCAAGGGTGTGGTGGTGGTGTTGGTTGTGGTTCTCTAGCGGGGAGAGGGAACATATATTACTTTTTCACTGTTTGCCAATGAAGCCTCTGCCATTGAAGTCATTGCTGGGTCTAAGTGATATCTCTTGACGCCAGCTTAATCTAAATGGAGAGCCTTTGGTCTGTAGCCCCCATTCTTCCATAAATATTTTATATTTTTGCCAGATGAAAGTAACACAGTTTCTTTAAAATAATAGGAGTAAAATGTTCCTGATATTAGAAAAGTTCAAGGAGCAGCTTAATAAAACACTTTATTTACTGTAATCATGGAAGCATGACAGCTCTAAAACTTGCAAGCCAGCAATAAAACTAGCGTATCCTAGTTTCATTGACCTGAACTAAGTATAAAATATGAGCATATCCGAAGTAAAAGCTGTTAGCTTAAGAAGAATTGCTTCCATTTTGACAATGTCTTTATTTATTGTATTAATAACAGTCAAAAACTCTGCTTTGGCCTATTCTTGGACTTTCACTGTATCTCCTCCTAATCCCTCTTTCCTTCTTTTTTATTTCCTTCTTCAAGGTGAGGCAATGGAACAAGGTTTACGAGACTGCTGTCGATCCATACGAATTGGAAAGATCCTGATTCAGAGTGATGAGGAGACACAAAGAGCCAAAGTATATTATGCCAAGTTCCCCCCAGACATTTACAGGAGAAAAGTCCTTCTGATGTATCCGATTCTCAGTGAGTGGCTTGTGTTTAATTTGTAACCTTTGGTTAGGGTTTAAATTCAACTTAGTGCCTGCCTTCTAGGTACCCTTATATAAAGGCGAAAACCATTTCTAAATGTGTTTTTTGTTTTTCTCAAAAACCATTCTTTAGAAAGCCATTTCTAAATGTTTTGTTTTGTTCTAAATGTTTTGTTTTGATTTGGAGTTGCCCTGGGCAGTTCTCTGGGGAATTCTTATTGTGTAATAAGAGAATACACATTAGTCAAACTTTATTAGCTCCAAAAACTTCTATCTTAAAATTAACACATTGAAGCAAAGGATTTAATGAGGCAAAATATATAGAACACAGAAAATACATTGAAATATGTCCCTTCTCTAGCCCAATGAGTATAGCAATGATTTTCTCAAGGATTTATCCTCTTTGGAGGTAATTTTTTTTTTCCTATTCTAGTCTGTTTCCTAAGCTTACTCATATCCTGGGGTTAGGGGTGGTGGGTGGGTGTTATATTTGATATCTCAAATACTGAACGAATTTAGGGCTTGTTGTGCATTTGAAAACTGAAAAGTATATGGGTTATGTCTGTTATTGAAAATAACATCATTGATAAAAAACAGGCACCTTCAAATGAAGCTTTGTCTTGTAGTATCTTTTTTTTTTAACAGCTTTATTGGAGTATAATTCCTTTACAATGGCGTGTTAGTTTCTGCTTTATAACAGAGTGAATCAGCTATACATATACATATACCCCATATCTCCTTCCTCTTGCATCTCCCTCCCACCCTCCCTATCCCACCCGTTTAGGTGGTCACAAAGCACCGAGCTGATCTCTCTGTGCTATGCGGCTGCTTCTCACTGGCTATCTGTTTTACAATTGGTAGTGTATATATGTCCATGCCACTCTCTCACTTCGTCCCAGCTTACCCTTCCCCCTCCCTGTGTCCTTAAGTCCATTCCCTACATCTGCATCTTTATTCCTGTCCTGCCCCTAGGTTCTTCAGAACCCTTTTTTTTTTTTAGATTCCATATATATGTGTTAGCATATGGTATTTGTTTTTCTCTTTCTGACTTACTGCATTGTATGACAGACTCTAGGTCCATCCACCTCACTACATATAACTCAATTTTGCTTCTTTTTATGGCTGAGTAATATTCCATTGTATATATGTGCCACATCATTTTATTTTATTTTTTATTTATTTATCTATTTTTTACATCTTTATTGGAGTATAATTGCTTTACAATGGTGTGTTAGTTTCTGCTTTATAACAAAGTGAATCAGTTATACATATACATGTTTCCATATCTCTTCCCTCTTGCGTCTCCCTCCCTCCCACCCTCCCTATCCCACCCCTCTAGGTTGTGCCACATCTTCTTTATCCATTCATCTGTTGATGGACACTTAGGTTGCTTCCATGTCCTGGCTGTTGTAAATACAGCTTCAATGAACATTGTGGTCCATGACTCTTTTTGAACTATGGTTTTCTCAAGGTGTCTAGTAGTATCTTTTTTTTAAATTAATTAATTAATTTATGGCTGTGTTGGGTCTTCATTTTTGTGCGAGGGCTTTCTCTAGTTGTGGTAAGTGGGGGCCACTCTTCATTGCGGTGCGCGGGCCTCTCACTATCGCTGCCTCTCTTGTTCTCTGCGGAGCACAGGCTCCAGACGCGCAGGCTCAGTAATTGTGGCTCATGGGCCCAGTTGCTCCGCGGCATGTGGGATCTTCCCAGACCAGGGCTTGAACCCGTGTCCCCTGCATTGGCAGGCAGATTCTCAACCACTGCGCCACCAGGGAAGCCCTCTAGTAGTATCTTGTATTACATTACTAAACTGCCTTTACTTCAAAGAAACTCAAAGACATTTTGAGATGAATGTTAAAGTTGCCAATGCATTTGGTTGTCATTTTATTTCAGGCACTGGAAACACTGTAATTGAAGCTGTAAAGGTTCTCATAGAACATGGAGTTCAACCTAGTGTTATTATCCTACTCAGTCTGTTCTCCACTCCTCATGGTGAGTTCATGCTCTTGATGGTCATGGGGTGGTTAAGTGTACATCTGCCCAGCCTCTTATCCTGAGGAAAAGTTCATTTGCTTCCACATTAAATTCAAATTGAATTTTGGTAGTTATAACTTGTGTTTGTCATCTCTAAGCTTAGTGGTAATACTTTACACCATTCTACTGTTGTTCAAATTCAAATGAAGAAGTATGAACTAATTCCATTGAAGGGGATTGCAGTTGTTTTCATGGTGGCCCTGTTTGAGTAGAGCTTGCAAATGGCTGAAAGGTCACTATTTCTCCTGCCTCCCGACCTGAGCCTGAAAACTGCTCTCAAACAGCAAGAAACTCGAGGTTCTAGCTAGCCCTGTGGTCTTACTGAAGTAAGCTTTGCAGTGTGAAGCAAAGATCAAAAGTTTGTAAAGTTAGACTTCTGCTCAAAGGGCACAGTGAAAGAACTTGTGTCCTCTATTTCCTGAGAGAGGTAAGCCTAATTTACGACCCTAGTTTTTTTTGCCATGTAATCTAAGACGATTGTGAAAGTATCCTAAGAAAATAATCATAAAGGCATGTAGAAATTCAGCATTTAGGATAGTCACTGTAAAGCTGTATTTCATGTAAGAGAAAATTTGAAAGTATATAAATGACTTACTTGGAAATGGTTAAATAAATATACAGTTGACCCTTGAACAACGTGGGTTTGAACTGCGTTGGTCCACTTATACGTGGATATTTTTCAATACTGAAAACTACAGTACTACACAGTCCATGGTTGGTTGAATTCATGTATGCAGAGGAACTGCAGATACAGAGGGTCAACTATAAGTTATATATATGGATTAACCCCCATGTTGTTCAAGGGTCAACTGTATATTCAAAGAGTATAATATTATATAACTGTTAGATCATGTTTTTGAAAAAACATTTAATGACATCAAAGAATCTGGTAAATGTAAGAGCAGAATAAACAACAGCATTAGAATAGTATAAAATGTCATCACCAAGTTTAGAGATGACTAATACAAATTATGACTATTATGACTACCAAAATCAGACTTGGATTAAGATGGGACCTAATAAATCTTTCCTCAGCATGAAAGGCTAGACAGATGCACAATACTATTTCAATTTTCATTTTAAATCACATAATATTAATAGTGGTTGTCTTAGGGTGGTGGGATTCTAAGTGATTCATTTTCTTTTTTAAGCTTTTTTTTTGTATTTTCCAAATGTTCTACAATGAATTTGTATTTGTTTCATAATCGAAAAGAAAGAAATATGTGGCTTCTAGTTAGGGCGTTTCCTCATTTCCAAAGGTTCCAAGTCTCAGCCAACCCTGAAGAGGCTACAGAGAAACCAGTTGGGATGGCTGCATTTAGTATGCCATTGATTATCTTGCTGTTTCATAATAAAAAATTACCTGTAGTTCAAATGTTGATGGTGACAAAGGGTAATTTGCTTGGTTATCCATCCATATAACAGAGGTGGCATTGTAAACACTGAGATAACCAAATAATTATTGGGTTTTCTGTCTTTGGGAGTAGAAAAGTAACCATGTTAGTTGTAATAGTATACATTAGAATAGTATACTAATTCTTTGACATTATAGATGAAAAAATCTTATTCCGTGGCAGCCTTGCTATGGCTTTTTAGTTTGACTGGCATCCTAGCTAGTCCCTTTCCTTTTTTCCTCCATCTCCTCCCCACCCAAGCTAGAGTCATAACTTCTCAAAAGCTAGCTTTCTCTAACATAACAAAGAAGTCTTTGCACTTGTTTCAACAGTGTTCCAGTTGAGAAACCAGCATCTTATGTATGATCCTGTTTCCAGAAAGGACTGTATTCTCTGTATTCCAGCTGCCTTTAAAATAAAACAAAAAAAGACCCTTCAGGGGAAAAGTTGCTATAACTGAATATATTTTTCAAATCTTGGATAGAAAACAATTTGATTCTAAGAATTTATTAGTGAGTGGGTGGAAACATAGTCTGACTACTATCAAAATTTTTCAGATACAGACATTATATAAACTAAGAGATTAACCAAGTCTGACTATGTGTCCAAAGGTCATTGCTCTTGGTCTGTCAATATTAGACCTAGTGACTGATTATAAAATTACTGAATTCCAAGTAATGTTATCAAAAAATTCTGCCATAATGACAATTCTCTTTTATTTTTTGAAGGTGCCAAATCAATCATTCAAGAGTTTCCAGAGATCACAATTTTAACTACTGAAGTTCATCCTGTTGCACCTACACATTTTGGACAGAAATACTTTGGAACAGACTAAGTTATTGAAGGAAAATTATTCTATTGTGTAATATTACAGTTATGAGTTTCTACCTGTTTGACTAATTCACTTGAGGAATGACATAGAAAATCATTTTAAAGATACTTTGTAAGTTTTGGAAATAGGTATATTAAAAGGAAATACTTGAGGTTTGTTTTTTTATTTAGCTATTTCTTGACCGTTGGCACCAAATTCAGCAATGAAGCACACGCAGCTCTTCAAAAATATTTTAATAATGTTCTTATGCAAATTGCTGATCCATCAGTGCATTAAACTGTTCCCTAATTTATGAACCTCAGTTTAGAGGTTGCTTGCAGCCACAAGTAAAACCCAAATGGGAGTCAGTTCATTGGCCCACTCTAGTTTGCATTTTGTTTAGTTTGCTTTTAGTTCTAGGGAGATTTCATATATGTGGCTGTTGTCACCTTCCTCTACTCTTTACTTCCTAGTACAATACACACTGGTAACTTGGAGAGGATGAATAAAGAATGCCTCATATAATTTTACGTTTCCATTAGTGTCCTTACTCAGTTGGCAGATCCAGGGTATACAGTTAGCTCTTCGTTCAAGCCATTATGTTCTTCATGGCTCACTTCCTACCATGTGCATTGTTGGTAGGTGCCTTGTCAAGTGTAATGCAGTGAAGACGATGGTGGGGCATTCCAGCAACTGGAAATGTAACACTAATTGCTCAGATTGAACCAGGGATGTCTGGATGTTGACAAGGGAGGGCTAAATACTGTTAATGCCATCAATGACCTAGAAATGAATTGGTGGTGATTTTTCTGAGGTGTGGGGGAATGGATGGTTTATTGCTGGGCGTATGGCCAATAAGTAAATTAAAATGCTTCATTTTTGTGTTTTCATATAAATTGTGAAATTTTTTGTTCTAGTTCTGTGAAAAATGCCAGTGGTAGTTTGACAGGGATTGCATTGAATCTGTAGATTGCTTTGTGTAGTAGAGTCATTTTCACAATGTTGATTCGTCCAATCCAAGAACATGGTATATCTCTCCATCTGTTTGTATCATCTTTAATTTCTTTCATCAGTGTCTTATAATTTTCTGCATACAGGTCTTTTGTCTCCTTAGGTAGGTTTATTCCTAGATATTTTATTATTTTTGTTGCAATGGTAAATAGGAGTGTTTTCTTGATTTCACTTTCAGATTTTTCATCATTAGTGTATAGGAATGCCAGAGATTTCTGTGCATTAATTTTGTATCCTGCTACTTTACCAGATTCATTGATTAGCTCTAGTAGTTTTCTGGTAGCATATATAGGATCCTCTATGTATAGTATCATGTCATCTGCAAACAGTGACAGCTTTACTTCTTTTCCGATTTGGATTCCTTTTATTTGCTTTTCTTCTCTGATTGCTGTGTCTGAAACTTCCAAACTATGTTGAATAAGAGTGGTGAGAGTGGGCAACCTTGTCTTGTTCCTGATCTTACTTGAAATGCTTTCAGTTTTTCACCATTGAGGATGATGTTTGCTGTGGGCTTGTCATATATGGCCTGTATTATGTTGAGGAAAGTTCCCTCTATGCCTACTTTCTGCAGGGTTTTTATCATAAATGGGTGTTGAATTTTGTCAAAAGCTTTCTCTGCATCTATTGAGATGATCATATGGTTTTTCTCCTTCAATTTGTTAATATGGTTTATCACATTGATTGATTTGTGTATATTGAAGAATCCTTGCATTCCTGGAATAAACCCTACTTGATCATGGTGTATGATCCTTTTAATGTGCTGATGCATTCTATTTGCTAGTATTTTGTTGAGGATTTTTGCATCTATGTTCATCAGTGATATTGGCCTGTAGTTTTCTTTCTTTGTGACATCCTTGACTGGTTTTGGTATCAGGCTGATGGTGGCCTCGTAGAATGAGTTTGGGGGTGTTCCTCCCTCTGCTATATTTTGGAAGAGTTTGAGAAGGATAGGTGTTAGCTTTTCTCTAAATGTTTGATAGAATTCGCCTGTGAAGCCATCTGGTCCTGGGCTTTTGTTTGTTGGAAGATTTTTAATCACAGTTTCAATTTCAGTGCTTGTGATTGGTCTGTTCATATTTTCTATTTCTTCCTGATTCAGTCTTGGCAGGTTGTGAATTCCTAAGACTTTATTCGTTTCTTCCAGATTGTACATTTTATTGGCAGAACTATCAAACTCTTAGAGGAAGACATAGGCAGAACACTCTATGACATAAATCACAGCAAGATCCTTTTTGACCCACCTCCTAGAGAAATGGAAATAAAACCAAAAATAAACACATGGGACGTAATGAAACTTCAAAGCTTTTGCACAGCAAAGGAAACTAAACAAGACCAAAAGACAACCCTCAGAATGGGAGAAAATATTTGCAAATGGAGCAACTGACAAAGGATTAATCTTCAAAATTTATAAGCAGCTCATGCAGCTCAATAACAAAAAAACAAACAACCCAATCCAAAAATGGGCAGAAGAACTAAATAGACATTTCTCCAAAGAAGATATACAGACTGCCAACAAACACATGAAAGAATGCTCAACATCATTAATCATTAGAGAAATGCAAATCAAAACTACAATGAAATATCATCTCACACCAGTCAGAATGGCCATCATCAAAAAATCTAGAAACAATAAATGCTGGAGAGGGTGTGGAGAAAAGGGAACACTCTTGCACTGCTCGTGGGAATGTGAATTGGTACAGCCACTGTGGAGAACAGTATGGAGGTTCCTTAAAAACCTACAAATAGAACTACCATATGACCCAGCAATCCCACTACTGGGCACATACCCTGAGAAAACCATAATTCAGAAAGAGTCATGTACCAAAATGTTCATTGCAGCTCTATTTACAATAGCCCGGAGATGGAAACAACCTAAGTGTCCATCATCGGATGAATGGATAAAGAAGATGTGGCACATATATACAATGGAATATTACTCAGCCATAAAAAGAAACGAAATTGAGCTATTTGTAATGAGGTGGTTGGACCTAGAGTCTGTCATACAGAGTGAAGTAAGTGATAAAGCGAAAGACAAATACCGTATGCTAACACATATATATGGAATTTAAGAAAAAAAAATCATGAAGAACCTAGGGGTAAGACAGGAATAAAGACACAGACCTACTAGAGAATGGACTTGAGGATATGGGGAGGGGGAAGGGTGAGCTGTGACAAAGCGAGAGAGAGGCATGGACATATATATATACACTACCAAATGTAAGGTAGATAGCTAGTGGGAAGCAGCAGCATAGCACAGGTAGATCAGTTTGGTGCTTTGTGGCCACCTGGAGGGGTGGGATAGGGGGAGTGGGAGGGAGGGAGATGCAAGAGGGAAGAGATATGGGAACATATGTATATGTATAACTGATTCACTTTGTTATAAAGCAGAAACTAACACACCATTGTAAAGCAATTATACTCTAATAAAGATGTAAAAAAAAATCTCCCACGTGAAAAAAATAAACTGCTTCATTTTTAATTTGGATGTTTCTACTAGAGGCTTTTAATTTGGAACTTAGTTCTTTTGCATGTTTGTCAATTCTAGATGTATTAAAATGGGAAAAAATACCATGATATTAAAAAAAAATCCCTAAGATTTATATGTGTTCATATTTAGGCTTCTGAAAGGAAGATAAATCATTTTAGGAAAGGATGTTCATGTTCTGAAACTTGCTTGTAAAACCCTGATCTCATTTTACATTGATATTAAAACATTTTAACAATGGTGGCTGGCTGATTACTTGATTAATTATACTCCTATAGCCCCATAGGCAGCTCTTGTGGCCTTCTGTTTTTTTAAAAAAAAAAAAAAGCAGAAAAGAACAGAAGCCCATTTCTTAGAATCAAAGCTGACAGAAGTCAGCAAAAATTCCGGGAAAGGAAGGAAAGCTGGTATAGAATGGACTGCATTTTTCCCTTTGGAGCCTAGAAGGACTTCACTATATTTTTCCCTTTATTTTTGAAGACTGTCATAATAAACTGAGATTAATTGATAGATTACCCATATTACAATTCTTCCAAGGCAAATGTTGGTCTCATGTTCTTGTTGAAATTATCATCTGTATTTGTCAGTTAAGTATGTTGATACAGTGTAGATTTTGTTTACTACTGATTAGCAGAAGCTCTAACTGAAGCCCATTAAAACCAAGATCTTTATCTCCTTGTCCCAGGAAAGATGTGAGCCAGCAAATTTAGATAGAGACCAGATCTGCTTCAGGTTGATGCACTGAATTAGTTTGGAAAGGTGATGTCTACCACTGTAGGAATCAGTGCTTCTGAGTTAGTGCTTATATTAGGGTTTCAGTATTTTGTTTGAAGTGACTTTCCAGAACATTAGACAAATTCATATTCGAGTATAGGTATAAAAATATTTCAAGCAAATTAATTTTATATTATCAGCCATTTAAATTTAATGTGTCTCTGTTCCTTTTCATCACTGAACATGATTGGGAATTGACTACATTTGGTTCCCACATAAACGGAATTCCTACTATAAGCAGTAGGAATTATTCAGTGGGGTCACATTTCCCACTGGTGATTGTCCTCTACCCCTCTGCAGATTTCAAGAGCAGTTGTAACTATGTCTTTTGAAGTTTGAATCTTTTTAGCAAATGAGGCATTATTTGTAGGGTTAACCAATTGCAGGACTCTTTTGAACCCATGAAATTTTCTAAATGACACAAAATCAACAGTCTATTCAAAACTAGATTGTTTTTTTTTAAACTAGATTGTTTTTAAGGACGTGAACTTCACAACAGTATAAACTGTGTAGATTCCTTATTGAAGAAAGAAACCCTAACACAATAAAAACAAGAAGCAGTATACATGAGTGTCTATCAAAAGTTGAATGTGCATCAGAATCACCTGGAGGGCCACAGATGGCTGGGCCTCACACCTAGAGTTTCTGATTCAGTAGGTCTGGAGTAGGTCCCAAGGACTTGCATATCTAAGTTCCTAGGTGATACTGATGTTGCTGGTTGGGTGGCCACAACTTGATTTGAGACATTTCTTATATAAGCATTTAATTATACAAATTTCCCTATAAATACTGGTTTGGTTATACCCCACAAATTTTGATATGTTGTGTTTTCATTTTCATTTGGGTCAAAATACTTTTTTCATTTCCCTTTTGATTCCTTCTTTGATCTAGGGCTATTTAGAAGTGTGCTATTTAATCTTCAAATATTTATTGGATTTTCTAGATTTCTTTTTGGTATTGATTCCTAATTTAATTCAGAGAATATACATCATATAATTTGAATCCTTTTCAATTTTAAATTTATTTGTCTTATGGCCCATAATATAGTCTCTCTTGGTAAATCTTCCCTGTGTGCTTTAAAAGTATGTGTATACTACTGTTGTTGGGTGGAATGTTCTATGTCAGTTAGCTCATGTTGATTGATGGTGTTGTTCAGGTCTTTGATTTATTTACAAATTTTCTGTTTATTCTATCAATTATTGAGAGGGGTGTTGAAATCGCTGACTTAAATTCTGGATTTGTCTGTTTCTCATTTCAGTTCTATCAGTTTTTCCTTCATGTATTTTGAAGCTCTGTTGTTAGGTGCATAAACTTTTAGGATTGCTATGTCCTCTTGATGGATTGATACTTTGTCATTATGAAATGTCTCCTTTTATCCCTAGTAATATTCTTTGTTCTGAAATCTACTTTGGCTGCTGTAAATATAAACATTCCAGCTTTCTTTTGATAGTGTTAGTATGGTATTTGTTTTTTTCATCCTTTTACTTTTAACCTATTGTGTTTTATGTTTATTCTGGATTTCCTGCAGGCAGCCTAGAGTTGGATCTTGCTTTTTCATCCAAGTCTCTTTTTTAATTGGGATGTTTAGATCATTTTAATTTAATGTGATTATTGATATGCTTGGTTTTTAAATCTACCATTTTGCTATTTGTCTTCTATTAGTCCCAT